GGACAGTGAAGTGGGTGCGTTGTACGTTGCCACTTACACACAAAGGGGTGCGTGCAATCAGAATTGATACAGCCGATGAATCCATCATCTGGTTGGCAGCACACAGGTACTCTAAAAATTCCAGCAGGAAAGACACTAGGCCTTCTATTCGCTTGGCGCTTTGGTGCTACTTGAAAAATCAGTAAGCTGTGCAGAGATAAAAGTGCTGAATGCATCGTCGCTGATGAATGATAAGTGATTTTAATAAAACCGCACTTCTTAGTCCTCTGACGTGATGGTATGTTTACTTTACCAAAAGAACCTGTTTGCAACTGTTAGGTCCCGATTATAAACGAAAATATTATCCAACAGCATATCCACATTTTCAGACCATATCAATATTTTTCACACTCCCGCCAATCGCGTTAAACATTGGAACAAGCAGTCTGCATTCCAATGTCGGGGAGTGAATTACGAACGTGATCGCATACGCGCAAACCCACGAACGGATTTACGTCATGTCCCAGAAACAGGATAAAAAATATTGCTTGAGACACTCCCCTTATTGAAGGGTCACGTTCGCGGAGGTGTTGATGTGCATTGGGCAAGTTAGCCGTCATAAATGTCCCAATAACAGTGGGATAGGATTCCCGTGTGACTATCGTGAACATGTAGGATTGTAGAGTTGTCTAGGAAGCTTTCGTCCACAGTTGATTGTAAAACATCAAATCAACACCAGGGGACTCCACACAGCAAAGTTAATTGGCTCACCAGATGAAATTAGCAGTCCCAAATACCATTACAGTTTTTCGGAATATTGATTTTCCACCCCTAAAACTGTGATTTTGTAACTGGCAACGGCGAAATGATTTGAGACAATTTACTTCTGGATGACGCTCTGATACAAAAATGGTGTAAAATGACAGCAAGGACAAACAACCGGTAAAAATGCAAACGATCAGCAAGAAATGTCAGCCATTTTCTTCTGGGCATGGTAGTTGCAAGCATACAAGTGCTTTATTTTCCACCATACCACACTGCACTGAGACGTGCGAGCTGTGTAAGGTGTGGGCCCAGATACAACATTCCAGTCACCACAGCTTTTACTCATTCACATTGGCGGAATAGGATGCGGAGACAGCCACACACTGAATATCACAGCTTGCACCAGGTAAGCATAAACACCAACTAACAACTCAAACGTTCCTCCACCCTCAACAATCAACATATCTGGACATTGTAATGTCATCCACTTTCATTTCATAATTCTCACAAGAGTTCCGTCTTTTTATGCGATTTCACGTTAGTGCTATGAAGAACTTGTGAGTTGGGTCAAGAGATGCGCTAACAAACCCTTTGCCAATCATTTTCATTTGTCAATCAATATCCTTCCTGCATACAAATCTGACAGGTTGATTCCACGTGATAACCGGATTCCTATTTATCACTGCTTTCATCTATGAGTCAAACCAAGTGACTAAATGAGTTCCATAGATCGTTCAGCTGTAATACCCTTCCGGTGCCTAGCTGCCATGCTACTCGAAGGAAGCACGAGGGCTGGGATACTGCCAGGTTGTCCAAGCCTAGACAGGGGAAGTCGAGAGACAGAGGTCGGGTTCAAACCACCAACCTTCTGGTCAGTAAATTCGCGCTCTAACCACCTAAGCCATCTCGCCCTCAAATCATTGGATAATTGTTCAGGTGCGCATAGAAATGAACTGTGTCCGTCAGAATCGTTCAGCTGCAGTAGCAACCCACCTCGAAGCGTGCTTAATGAAAATTGTAAACTAGGTCAGGGGTGACGGGAATAGTTATAATCACTTTTAAGATTGTTGCTATCAGTCCATAGGCTTTTCAAGTCATTTAAACAAAAAACAGTTAAAATGACCAAAAGTATTCTAGCAACCACGACAATACATTCCCACTTTATATGACACGATGATGAACTAAAACCGAAATGTCACAGTCTTTTCGTAGATGGTATTTATGAGGAACGATTGGCATGGCTGGACATCGTAGACTGAGGATGATCAATTCGGAAAACTAGGTTACCACGGAATGAAGAAATCTCCTAATCCAGCTCGACACCCAAGCGATTACCTTGAGTATAGCAAGACACCTTAATGCTAGACTTATTAGGTGAGCAACATCCCATAACACCCCTTGTTGCAGAATAGAACATCGAGTCAGCGAGCTCTCCCGTTACCTGAAAGCCATAGAGAACCGTTTTAACTGTTCGGTGGCTGAACTATAAATTATGGAAGTTAGAAAGTTGATAGACTGGACCCTCTTGGCCTTTTATCTGTTACGCGTTAAGTAAAAGGAATCCGGCCTCGAAGAATTCTCCATGGCAGCTGAGTGTTTTTACACCAACAATCTGCCAACTCTATATAGTTCGTCAGTGATTTGTTTCAGTACCTGGTGAAGCATGAGAGCACTGGCCATACCGAAAACAAAGATGAATCCTACTTACTCCTATCGCATTCATTCCAAAACAGGCAATTTTCAATATGCTTGCATAATAGCAATAATAATAATAATAATGTCAGTTGTAGCGATTTTCGGTGCATAGGCATCTCGCGAAGCTACCGAAGCAGAAGAGCCTGCGAAATCAGGGCAACCCAGTTACTGGTTTCGTATCTTAACTATTGGGCTATCTCGAGCTTACATGTATGTCGTGCACACATGTATCATGCATAAAAGCCTCTAGTTTTGACCGCAAAGTTTTACTTATCTACTCACCCTCATTTAGGAGGTGACGATTACATTACACCTACTCAAAACACTGACGCACATGGGAGGGAAAGGTGGGAAACGTAAACAAACCCTATTCGGAGGAATAGAAAGAACATGTATCAGCCCAGCTGGGCAATGTATGTGGGAGAAATGAAATTCTACCTGGTGTGTAACCCCATGGTTCATAATAAGAAGGGAAGACTCCAAGATGACAGCCACGAACAAACTCTTCGTAGTCCATCGGGAGTAGAGGATTAGTTGAACTGAGGAATTCCGGATGGAAAATAACCTAAAACACAGAACGGCACTATGATTGATACGGATTGATGTCATTTAGGTCAATAAAGGGCAGTCAGTCAAAAGCCACTGAAACTAAAGGGAAGTGTTGCAAAACGGTTGAGCCGATGAACATATGGACACCAAATGAATCTGTGTTCAAAGCAGGCTGACTATCGTGTATTGAGATTTCAGCCGACGGTTACGCAAGAGCCATGATACAGAACATTACACATCCATAAACCACCGAATCTGGTGGAAACACCGGATCAGCAATGCTGAATTTGGTCGAATGGTATTCGGGAGAAATAACTCATCCTCAATAGATGAACTGATTACACTGCATAAGTTGCGCTAGCTTGGCTGCGCGCTGCGTATGTCATTCGACCGACTTCCTCAAAGGGCCCTTTTCGCACAATTACGTGAGAGGTGGAAGAGAGCCAGAGACATTCCAGCGACATTCCAGTAGCGACATACCAGCAAACTCAGCTGCGCAGGTCATTGCCGTCTTCCTGGATGGTGACCCCGAAACGGGCCACATCGATGGTTAGAAGCATCGTCAGACATGGCCCAGTCGCGCCCTCAATGTCGCTCATGCATCTGATCTATTGCCTTCGATGCATAGCTCCCCTTCCAGTTCCCCCAATTAAAACTCCACTGACAGTGCGAAGCTGACAATGCGAAGCTATCTGGCCCACCTCCCCAAATCATCTGAACGAAACTGTGGCAGCTACAATCACTGTACGGCAAGTACATGGCTATTACAGCTGGCAATGATGATGATGATAAACCGACAAACTATCTTCCCAGTTTGAAATCAATACATGACCGCGAGACAAAGTGTGAAAAATGTGTGAAAAAAAAGCATAGTTGTGTGGCACAGCCTTAGCCACATTCTGTAAACTATTTCGCTCCAAACCCACAGTCTAAAAACATGTACAACCGTTAACGACATATGCAGTTCACAGCATGCAGGCTTGCAGTGGTAGACAACAATCACCCACGCATCATTTCTTTCGGACGTGCAGCATAAACCAGGCACAGAAGTGTAGTTCCTGAGTCATCAGTGGACGTATGTCGAAAACCAAACCATGGTAGCTTCTACACTGATACAACCATGAATGACAAAAAGCACCGAACTACCAGAACAAAACCCCTTCAGCTGAGTTGAACAACTAGTACTTTCAAAATGACGAGAACTTATCAATAGTGGTGTGTTTCGTCAAGAAAGTGTTCTGTGTATTATGGACCTTGGTACGGACGAAACGAAATGAAATGTGCCCAAAGTCTAGTCCCCAAAGTTCAGAAGTTCTCTAGAACAACCCACAAAGGTCACAAAATAACATCAGTAGGAGAGGGCCACACACAGGAATCAACCATCTGAAAGGCTGTCACTGGAACCAAGTACAGAACGGCTATCACTGAAAATGCTTAGTTGCCTATTTTCTGGGTGCATTGCGTCTGGAAGCGCAGTATGCACAAGACCCCTCTGATCCAAGGTTGTGGACTGAGGCTGGAAATAGCCATACGTAGCATCCGAATTTTCACCGACATTTTTAGACTTATAGGAGCCAGACAGCACATAAACTGTGACACTATAGCTGATTGTGCTTGTACGCTAGTAGCCAAGACATTGTACCAACACTCATGTCATTCAAGAAAGATTGTTTAAACGGATATCGGCACAATAAGTACACCAATTATGTGGAATCACACAAGCATCGCAACAAAGTTTGTGTATGCGCAGACTTTTCTAAGAAACATAACTAAGTTGAGGTCGTACGAGAAGTTCTTCTCCTTATCTTATTTCACTAAGTCAGTATGAGGATCTGTCACGTGATCCTTAGGTTAGCGGATCCAAACTGTTGACCTTAAACTTCCATCTCCAGAGATCCCCACGGGAAGACGGTTCACCCGAATTTCATTTGGAGAGGTCTCTCGTCAGGGAGTCACAAGTAGGATTATGGCTGTCGGCAAGGAAACGAATAGCTGCAGCAGAGGGACTCCCTTTTGGATAGGTCGCTCCTGTATGCGTGCAAAATTATAGTAACATAGTAACACAGGTTCGTAGCTGCAACTTACCGCTTCCTCAGCCAAGCCGAAGGGAAACCAGGCAACCCTAATAGACTGCCTACTTTTCATGGACAACAAGGAGATCCATTGTAGAGGAGATCTCGACAAAAGAGCATGTGACTAAATTAAGAAGACTGTTTATTCTGGGATTTTGAGATGCCGATGCCCGAAGCTCTAGAGCGACTCCAATGACAAGTTGATTAGCCATCGTGAAACACATGGGGTCAAACAGTATAACAAGAATTTAATAACGATATGCTCGGACCTTTCTGCTGACTGTGCTTCGTAGACAGAAGTGACACCGGATATACTTAGGGTCAACTAAATAGCCTCTTGGAGAAATTCGCTGTAAGTAGCATGTGATGTGGTCAAAACCAGCAATTCCATACTCACCTTGACTCGGTCGTTGCGTCCATTGAACAACTGACATCGTCGCAGATTACACAACACCAGATCAATATTGTCTTGGACAACATTGTGCGTACAGATCGGTGGTAAGTTGTTTCGCTGGGCGGCGTATATACAGCGTTTCAAACGATATATATCATCCTAAATGAATGGAATCAGGATAAACAGTCATCCAGTGCAAGTGGGAAATTCACTTTAACAATGTCTTGTTGAAAATTCTTAACCCAAACCTCCACAAAACGATACTTACCTGTGTTAAAATGTCTGAGCCTTGTGGTATACGACCACGAAGACAAACTTCAAAAAGCCGATGACCCATGTCACCTTGAATGGAATTTACAGTCTCGCGTAACTGTTTCACAATAGCTTGCGCACGAAAAGAGTCGACGTTGAAGCTGTTCGTTTGTGCGGGGAAAATGAGGAACGCGACAACGGTGATGTCACTCTGAGCTTGCTGAAGAAATCGAAAAAAAACAAAGCAAAACAAAACAAGCATGGTAAGTTGAAATCTGTGAGCCACGTACGATCACGCCAAAAAGGAAGGTACTGCTCGAGATGAGGATCCGACAGAAATACATGGAGCAAGCGTATATAGTGTGCAATCACAAGGCAATAAATTGCGGGTAAACGGAAATCAGTCTTGACATAACTGGATCTCTTACTTTTGACATTCCTGAACTGAATGGGTTGTACGAAATCCACCTCATGTTTCAGTCAGCAACCTCATAATCAGTTTATGTCAAGAGAATACACTTCAGTATCTTGAATATCGTGTCGACTGTAACAAGAGAAGGGTTTTGAGTCGAAAAAATCGCACCATTAATTTGCGGTGATTGACGCGTACCGCAGCATGTCTGTCATTAGCCTCAATGTCCTTAGAACCTCATTGTATTGTGCATCTTCGTATGGTGCCACCTAGAGGTAACTGTGGCATTTGAGATCATATCGTAGCGAAACCTAACATATGCTGTGTAGAACAAAGTTCACCTATATGTCCTACCGAACTTCAAAATTGAATTAGTTGATCCCACGATGGTGCGAACACAAATGTGATACTTGCTGGAGACATGAACGCTAAAATTAACATAGGTTTGACGAAAGTAGTCTAGGAAGTCGATACTGACGATATATAACCCACCGACAATGGAGAACGCATCCTGACATCCTGTGTAGATAACAGACTTCCTGCTCGATACCACTTTACAGCATCCACAGACCTTCAATCAACCGGGGACATACTGACCACATTACAGCCAACATCTGGTAAAGAGGCGTACAGGACAACAGGTCTCATTTGAGCACATGCCTGCGTCTCAGTATGCGGAGGAATCATCGCTCAGTTCTGTGGACACTCGAGCTTTCGCACTAAACGAGTTAACATGGGTTATCTGACACCAGTATAATTGCCTAACTGCTACCGAACTGATAGTATAGTCCTTCTCAGCCAGTTCAATCGAAGAGGTCATGAGTCACTGGTGAAAACTTTGGCAATATCTGAAGCCCGAAAATACCCCACATGTGACGTTACTTCCCAACCGACAGGCACGTTGGATGGCATCAAGCTACTGTAGGATGTTCCGTTCCAACACAAGAGAACGAATGGGTGAAAATCGATGTAACGTCGCAGTTCAGTAAGAGTCCGAAAACGGACACGAGGACGGAACAATATGACTTTCACATCCGAAAAATCACATCGGTGCATTTTGCTTTTTCTCATATTAGTTTCACAACTAGCTGCGATACGACCTAAAACTGAAAAGTCCACCCAGCTGATCGGGCGACAAATGGCACAGTGACGCGGGTTAGGACGATTGATCGAAGGACACAAAAATGCACATGTGTGATGCAAAGCCCGCTACTTATAAGTACAAGCTTTCTGGCGTAGCGAAGTCGCAGAGGGCCCTTGTTGTAACGGTATTTTTCTCAGCTTAGTTCTCGGTCTGAGCCTCCCAGGCTAGCGTTCACGTCAAAACAAACACCAAAGGTGCAAAAGGTCTATTAACGCCCAAAACGAAATCAGGAACAGTTGTACAGCGCTTCGTATATATAGCGTAAGCGGCTATAACTTTCTGGAATTTCTGACGCGTTCTGGAGCTCCATTGGCAACCGGCATTCGGCCAATACTGGGTCATGATTGGCTGTTGGGTCCAGATTTTTGACCAATCAGATCTCGTCCTGATGCCGGACCGGCAAACGTCCCGAATTTTGGGCCAACGTCGAGCGGGCCAGGCTTCTCGGCCGTAGCAGCGCCTAAAGACGTGCGGTATAGTGGGATCCGCGTGGATTCCTGCCTAACAGCCCTCGAGAAGATTGCCAAATAAGGGAAACGACCAAATATATGTTCGCAGAAATATGCAACCCACTTTCATAGGCATACAAGTAGTCAATGGTCTAGATGTTTTTTTGGATGATAGCGTCCAAGTGCAAGTTGACCACAATACTGACCGACTGCTCACAGCTGAATGGCAGCGCCCATCAAATGCGGGTTGAATCCCCATGTAGATTCGCGAAACGGATACTGCTACTGACTCCCAATGATACGTACGTTGCTCATTTTTTCAGTTTTTTATCTGCCAAGCCGGGTGCAATCCGCGGGTGAAATTCAGGAGATAAATCCGTGGTCCTATGATTACAGCAAGGTGGCTCACTCAAGAGAACGCTTATTCGGTGGGCAGGGGCTGCGATCGGGTTCTCCTTGATGGTGTTTGTTATTTGGTGTCCCTAATTCTCATTTAAAAAACGCAGAGTAGTACTTCTCTCTACGTAAAAGAGTACGGCCTTCCCATGGGCTGTACGAGAGCCTTTCAGCCCAAGGATGCCATGTTTATATTTGTTTTCTAAGCTTCTGCACGTGCGGCCGACGCTTATTGGTTTCCCTGTGATCGGCAGCAGTAGCAGCGGCAAAAACCTAATTTATTCTGACCACACAAAAGCGGTCACGATTATTTGTGCCATGCGGGCACGCGATGGAACAATTACACATAAATTCACATCGCATCCGGCTCCCCCTCCTCCTCTGAATTACGGTGAACCGAGTCGAAAAACAGACTTAAGATGAAAGCAGTGGCCACTTACTATCAGCTGATGATTCAAACGCGCCAGTGCTTCGATGAATATATCAGCGCCCTTATTTTGGAATTCGTAGCGTCCAGCGATGAAAAAGTACAATGTTTTGTCCAAATCAAAATCGTAGTGTCTGTAGAGAGATGAGAAATGCATTCATGAGCTCGGGCTGAAACAAACAAGTAGATGAGATCCAAAAGGTCAAAGAGAACGTAAGAACTTACCCGTAAAAATGACCTTGGATAAATTGATTTAACTTTTCTTTGGCTAATGCATGACGATTTTGAAACTCATGTAGAGCGGCAAACTTGATAACATTCAGGCCGTTTGGTGTGATCACATCCGGCTCCCGTCGCAACAGATATTTGCTCTCCAAACCAGTAATCTTGCTGACAGTGGTGAACACATGGGCACAATGAACAGCAGCACGCTCGAGGCAGTAGCGATGGTAGATATTTCGATCGCCGGCTTCCTAGTGTGAAAAAACGGCAATGATAGGTAAAAGTACAGGTACGGAGGACGACCAAGGTAGGCGAACAGATGAACTCACGTGGTGACATCTACGAAACCTGTCCCTAATTCAGCTTATCACATATTTACTCGGTACAAAATACCATAAGAGATTAATAAACGGTTGCACGCTTGCACTCAATCCTGAAAATTATCCGGCTATGCATACGGTCAAAAGGGACGAGGATACGGTAATAAACGAAACGCGCATGAGGACGGTAGATTATTATGAGTAAACTTAGGAGAGGGGCAAACGTGCGTATTAAAGTTAACCAACTTTAACACAGGTCCGTCCACATTTGATAAGAAAACACATGCAGAACCCTAAGCATTCATTTAAGCAAAACCGGATCTGAAGTGCTGCATCGTCCACTTTTTGGTTCAAAGTTCAACAAGTTTGTGCCATCTCGCTATAGACCAATTTCTTAAAGACCTATGTGACATTTGAGACTTAGATCGTGTCAAGTTATTACAGAGGAACAACTTCGTTACCTGAAATATGAGCACGGTATTGTGTGCATGCAAATTTCATCCATTGGTTTGACCTAAACTTCTATTCAAAGAACGGTAGACGGTAAGAAGCTGGCCAAATCAAACACACGCTCCAAACCTAAATGGGTCCACGTGATCTGGCCGGTAAATATGTTTACCTTGATAGCTGCTCCACCGCAAATGGCTTTAAGGATGAAATAAACCGGTGTATCTGAATCTCCGTTTTATTAACGTCGAGAAATTAGCCCGGTTTACGGAAGATGTGTTTATAGCACTTTGTGTGAAGCTACCTTGCTCTATGGATGTGAAAACGAAGCTCTACGTGTAAGACAGTAAATATTAAGCAACCAGTATAGCATTGCCCCATGATTTGCGTTTCACACCTACAAACTGCGGAGTGATGCTGCAAGACTCATCATCATCATCATCATCAGCTGCAAAAACCGTGTACATGTTGTATCATGGTTATAACCGTCACACTTCCATCCACCAACGGTCTGGGGAGATGAGGTAGATAGTTACACATTGGAGGCGGTAGCTACAGGGGGTGTCAGTGGGCTTTTCAGTTTGGGGATCGGGAAGGGAGATGTATATTGAAGGCACTAGCTTGGATACGTGTGCGCGATCGGGTCATGTCTGATAATGCCTCTACCTATTGATGTGTGCCATCCCGGGTTCTCCATCCAATAGCCAGTGTCGCTGAGGTTTTGCCGGTAATGGCTTCTATCCTCCGCTGCCAATTTACCACTTGACCTCCCGTAGCTCGTTTCCACCCTTCGCGTAGTTGTCCGAAATCGGCAAGGCGGTCGACTGGAATACAAAGCTCGTGGTCAAACCAACCTATGAAGTGTAACCAGTTCATCCATCGTAGGCCAGTTATTTCCTCCAAAAACCAGCACTACTAGTCCGATGCTTCTACCAGACCCCGACAATGCTCCGAGGAGGTCAATAGTCAGACACTGAGGGTTTGTTTACTTCGTCAGCGCACAGCGGCCAGGCAACGTCTGTACCGCAAGTGACGAAGGTTCACAAAAGATGTTCCGGTTCTCTCAATCCAGAGAAGTATCGTCTTTGTCTAGACTAACGGGACTGACACAGCTTTCCACATAGACAGATTTTCATAGTACTATCGTTTATTTTTGAAGAGCATGGCCACAGAAATAAAAAGTGAATGCAAGCGATTAAAGTGAAAGGGTTACAGAAGAACATGAGATAACGTCTCATATGAGTAACGTCTCATTTAGTCATACCACCAACAGTTCCAGTCAGATAAGACGAATTTCAACGTATGTAAAAATTTTGGTATGGAAACACACGTGTGAAGACTAAAGGGCAAACAGTGCTGAATGCTCTTTATGGCGCGGTAAGCGTTAGCACAGTCAAGACTCGCACATCAGGCACAAGGTGTCCATCATACTGAGTCTGAGGTGAGATTCCGCAAGCATGGGATTCGGGTTTCAAACTACCCAGTCATGAACTAAAGCCGCAACCTTGACACGGTGGTCAGGCTTGAGTGCTCAGTGATCCTACTGGTTACATTGGCTGGAACTTTGTTCCACAAGATGCAACCTTGGCAGAAAGGCCAAAGGGAAGCAGCCAAACTAAGAGCACCGAAACTCCGTACTGTGGGGCGGTTTGGGAGTAAAATCTTACTGTCCTCTGCGATAGCAATGTGAAGGCAATAAGGTGTTTCCCACGGGCGAATAGCATGTCCATATTCATCGAAACAGCGATGCTACCTTCCCTCATGTTCTTCCGATAAGGGAACCAAGGAAACCCCTAATACCCGCAGCTACGCAAGTTAGAATTTTGAGGCAGAGGCAGAGGGCACGGTTCCAAAACAAAACTCCAGATCCTTCTACCGCCTTGAGTCAGAATTTTGGGTCAAAGGTGGGGTACCCAAATCAAACCCCGTTTCTCGACCTGAGCAACCGGGGAGTATCGTTTGCCTGCACAGTGTGTCCACCGACGCTCTTCTCCAACTCCTTCCCACCACATAAACAGACGCTGCGGGCGAAGTGGCTCAGTGCTAAGAGTGCAAATTTCCTGACCGGAAGGTCTGTGGTTTGAACTTGACCTCTACACTTAGATTTCTGCCTACGCTTGGGCAACCTGGCAGTATCCCAGACCTCGTGCGTCCTTCGGGTGGCGTGGCAGCTAGGCATCTAAAGCTGAACGATTATCTTTTTTACGTTGCTGGCTCATTTGACTGTCATTAACCTAACAATGGGCCTTATGCTCCCCGCTGTCTATTAACAACAAACAAAATAACATTGCTAAATCCACGAGATATTTTCAACGCAGGAACATTTAACACCCGCCCGTACTATGTCGAATTGCCAAACAGGCAATGCTCGCTGAAACCTTATACTCCCTTAAAATTGATGTATGTTGCGTCTCCGAAACACGCATACAAGACTCAGGGGTGGTTATACATCTCAAAGCGCCAACGATTAACTCAGCTTTTTTACATTTCTCCCTTTGTGTGTTCGGTGATCCAGAAGTACTAACTCGTAGAATATATCGCGTGGGAGTTGCACTCAGCCCAGAGCTGAACGTGCTTTATTGGTTTTGGATCTCAGTGAACAGTCGTCTTTGCCCCGTCCGGTTATCCAGCTCAATCAAGCTCAATTCCTCGACATAAAACACGGTGCCCATTCGAAGTGTCGGCTTATGCCCTAAAGGACTACAGTTCGAATGCTGAAAAGGACACTTCCTATCAGGAGTTATCCAGGATCATTCGTCAAGCAAGAAGCATTGATATTGTGATCATTGGGGGCTATATAAGTGCCTTATTCGGTCGTCTGGGCTCCTTGGGACCACACCAGGGCAGTCGATTCGGAGTCAATGTTTGTCGCACAGATAACGGAGAACGACTCCTCCAGTTATATGCTAATCATGAACTTATTCTGGTCATAACGAACTTCCAGCATAAACGTTCGCATAGCGTGTTCTGGCAGCCACCAACTACAAATCAACCATCAGCCACCGGAGAGCTACAATTCAAGACTGCCGTTTCTTCTGGGGCACATTACTGGTTTCCCCATGGTGCGTTCACGCCTGACAATTAGTTTCCTTTCAGGCCCTTGCAAGTCAGCAAGAAGCATGCCAATCCACGATCTTCGAAGAACTACCATAGCTCAACAGTATCGATCTGAGCTATTCCAACAACCATCCACAGTAAACCAATACTAAGGTGACTGTGAGCATATGGATAAAGCGTGGCATATTGTGAAAGGAGCTATGTTAGCAGCGTTCAGTGCTGTTTGTCCGACTACTCCGATTCGACCAAAAGACCACTGGATGTCATTGAAATCGCTATCCATGACTGATGCAAGGAAGGCTATACCAGCAAGCAACGAGTACGACAGCACATGCAAATCCGTCAAACGCCAAATAGTGAAGAGCCTAAGGAAAGACCAAGAGCTCTGGCGGACATCGAAAGATCGGAAAATGGAGAAGGCTTTCGCTACGGGAATCAGCCGTGCCCTATATCATCTGATACGGTCGACTGGCCCTAGGAAAGCAGTGTTCAGTGAAATGATAACTGAAGAAGGTGGTTCATTAGTTCACTCGCAAAAACGTCGACTGGAGAGATGGACCGAACACTTCGAAGCAGAGTTTAGCTAGTCTTCCGCCACCCTGTCTGTGGAAAAAGCGCATACGGGCAAATGGAATATAAACCCTATTCGCTGTTCGAAAGAAGAAATAAAGTACGAAATATCCGTACTGAAATGTGAAAAGGCCCAGGTTCCGGACAGTCTCCGTCCAGTCCTCTTCAGAGAAGGCCGAAAATCCCCATTGACCCACCTAACAATGCTTATTGGTGAGAAATGGAACGAAGAGAAAGTGCCAACAGAATGAGGCATGTCGACAGTTATTTCCATCTTCGTGAAAACCACCGTGGCATCAGTCCGGTAGCTGTGGCACCGAAGGTGTTTTCTGGTCTTATCTTTAAGGTTTGATCAAGCACAAGGGAAGACAGATCCGTGAAAACTAAGCTTAGTTCCGTCTTGCAAAAGGGTGTGTCGATCGTATATTCACCCTCCGACAGATTCTAAAACAGCGACAGTATTTCCAGCAACCAACAATGGTTGTCTTCCTTGACTTTGAACCTGCCTTTGACTTTATGGACCGTTAGGCATCATGATAGTGTCTGTGGAGCATAGATATCCTCCGTAAACCCTTGACCCTCCCTGAAACGCTGTATGCCAACCCCCGCGGAAGCGTGAAGGTCTATGGGAAGCTCTCAACTGAATTCATCACATCAAATGGTGTTAGCCAAGGCCTTCCCAGCTCAACTTCGTCAACGATACGATTATGGAGGACTCACTAGCAGCCCTTAATTCCTGTGGGGTCGAAATGCTTCCGGGACATTCACTCACAGATATCGAGTACGTAGACGACATAGCTCTTCTTGGATCCGACGACGTGGTAATGCAAACAATATTATTTGGTCGAAATAATTTAGCTTTATCGTTTATCAGACGCTTCACAACTGCAAAATTTAAGGTGCTGCAGCAAGACAGGGTGGGCTCGAACCCTAGCCATATGATCGCGGATGCTTGTGTGTTGCCGAAGAGTTTTCAGCAGCCTTATGAGTAGCGTACTACGTTTATACATGTATCGCGATATGTTAAATATCGTACCCAACGAATCATGTGGCCTGGGGCAGCACATTTAGCTGCTTAAGAACATGATAAACGAGATATTCAATTGGGTTTCAGGTGAGTCTCTCATCAAAACCAAACAGGTATGCAAATTAATGTATTTGTCCAAGATTTACTGTATATGTGAAAACTAAGCAATACCGCGTAAGGTTGGTTGTTTGGGAGCTTGAAGGAGACATTTTGTCCACGCGAAGGGACTACCAATAGAGGCCAACTCTGGCATGAGATCAATGCGCGCGGTTTCCAAGTGTGAAAAATGTAGGCTACGCGACTGGTGGAGAGGGGGCCCAATGTAGATCAACTCTTCGCTGAATATTATAGAAGTGTAAACTGAGAGCTGGCGGCTACTCGCATTGACTACCTATCAAGAACACAAATATTGCACTTACCTTGATACAATACTGCAAATGAGGATAATGTGAACTCTTAGACAGTCCATTACCGGTTTCGTCCTTATTGGAACCCATAAGGTAGACCTGCTCCCAGACTTTCCATGTCTCATTACCATGCCAAATTAGAAACAGGTGGATTTAAAATATCATTTGCAAGTTTAGGACTGTGTCGACTGAATTCTTCGCGTATGAGGACCCTTAAGGGAAGCACGAAGCGGCCATTGTCCGGCATATTCGGTTGGATGAATGCTGTATTTGACTCTAAGCAAAATAAAGTTATTGGGACGAATAGGATTATACTTATGGTGTGCATCTAACGTAAACGTCTTACATAGCTACCGGTTTCAAAGCTTGATTGTCGATGGTCCGTACAGACAACACAAGGAAAGCGATGTACCAGTGGCTCAAGTTAAATAAGTGCAGTTTGTGTAACAGACCACAACTGAGGTACGGATAGTTAGCTTAGCTCATTGATTAGCTCACCTTGTCCAAATCGAAGTTGGGTAAGTTGTTGTACAGATCAACGGAGGAGGCACACAGGTATCGGCCCAAGAGTGTTGCATGGGTTGTGAACACGGTGGCCACATCTAAATGACGTGTCCTTGTGAAAACCAGGCCGACGCTGGTTAGCCATTCATGGAAGTGTGCAATTACGGGAGGGCGCGGAGAGGGTTCACAACGCTCGAGTTGCGCACAAAACTTGAAATAAAGAAGACTTGAGATAAAGTTGGTTGTATCGGCCCAAGAGTGTTGCATGGGTTGTGAACACGGTGGCCACATCTAAATGACGTGTCCTTGTGAAAACCAGGCCGACGCTGGTTAGCCATTCATGGAAGTGTGCAATTACGGGAGGGCGCGGAGAGGGTTCACAACGCTCGAGTTGCGCACAAAACTTGAAATAAAAAAAACTTGAGATACAAGTTGGTTGAAAAGATAGTTCAAAGTTGCACGGTTGGTTAGCTACGCTGGCGAATCGAGAGGAAAATGGCAGTTATTGTGGATCCATACCGAAGAATGGCATGAAAGAGAGAACTTACAGGAAAACAAAAACGTGGATATTCTGTCGGGTGGAACGTAGTGTTTCTCAGTTGCTTAACATACCCATTGAGAAAGGTGGCTATACGCCAATGACCATCCAGTTCAGTCACTTTGTGACTGATGAACTGACTGTATATCAACTTTACTTCCAGGAAGCGAACTACGAGAAAATGCAGACCGATGTTCTTGTACAGAACTGAGTTGCATTGAAGAAATAGAGCCAATACTGACTGATGGCGTTTCCTGGAGTGTCTCAAGGAAGTTCTACCATCTCACTGGGATGAGTGATTTGTTATTTGATTGACAATAATAGCTGAAGGATAACCGTCATTAGTTTTCAATAATAAAGTATCAGCATGAAGATCAACGCTTATGTATACCATCCCGAAGGGGTGACCCATGCATCATGAATGTTCTTTGCGATAAAAGCTTTCGTGCTTCACTACTAAATAACAACGTAGTCTCTTCATTCCAAAAATATCAAATAAAAGAGCTCTATCGCTGGTATAGCCTAGAAGGTGTTAGTTGTTTATCACACTTTTGGGTCCAACAACAAACTGAGGGCGTTATGGCCGCAAAAAAGTAGAAATCGTTCAAGATTCGCTCATGAAAATATCATGACACTTCGTTCTCATCATCCATGAACATTCGTCAGCCTGGCAAGATACTTACACATAACAAGCTAAGATTAACACAACTACAAGTAAGGTTAACTGCCAGGTGGTTATCCAAAGACCGACCATAGCTGGGGTCCTGCAACATTTTAATGCAAAACAATGTTGATGAGAAAAGTAGGTTGAGGATGAATTGAAGCAGTGCTAGACACACGTCGAAATAGGTTTCCCAGGCAAACCGCTCGCCCGCTCCGGTACAATTCCAGCCAGAGTTCTTTATTCGCATTTTTTTGTTTGGAGATAACCCTGCTAAAGATCCGACTGATATCACTAGTGAAAATCATGCGCGAATTTCATACGAACGAGGAGGTAAGTGTACGGTACAGACTGAATGATCTAACGAGCAGCTCCAGTAGCACTGGGAAAACGTCCACATTGATGAGAAAACACTTCCACCGATGGTATCACTTTGCGCAGATTTATTCTCTCCATTGGTTGTAACTAGCAGAAAGCGAATCCAAGCGAGATACACTCAACAACATGCGTTCCATCATAAAAACAAAGGATGACAAGACTGTATCTTTGGTCATGTTGGTTCGTCACCACTGTCGCACTAAACAATACACCTCCAACCCACCTGTAAATGCAGGGCAGTAGCTAAGCAATCTGACTGGTAGAGGCAGTGCGACTAGCCTTCAGAAAATCACTTTTAACATTCGGAGTCGTAGGCGTTTCGTAAACGGCGGCCTCATCCAAGGCATTTCTCCTGAAATAAATGCATTAGCTTTCCGTTATCTTATCTGCCCTTAGGTTATTTCCGAATTTCCGTCGAAATGCTGATAACTTCTTAACGGTTCTATACGGGCCTCCTTGTAGAATCACGAAGTCACCCGGTAACATTCCCAGAAGTTGGTTATGTCGCGATTAAACTGAATTTATGGTCGGTCCTAATAGCAGTGTGTATCAAAGATTTTATCGAAAATATTATCGAAGTGAATCAATTATTAGGCAGTATCACTGCAACAGAATATGGCCAGTAACTTGTGGCCCAGGATGGAAGATTTGAGATTCGGAACTGAAGTATTCACTCGGTAGAAGTAATCCCGCTGTACACGTAAGCTTTCTTGGATAATCACTATATTTACTGTGGTAATCCTCAAGCCTGGTGATCCTGCAGTGGTCACTCCACTCTCAGGGCAGCCGTAACTCATTTACCATGAAAACCTAGCACTGAAAACTTTGGCACACTGTCGAGGAGTATTATAATCAGATAACAGATATAAAATATATTTGATTCTACTGTGCAACCACGCAGTAAGCAGGTTCGGTAGTTTTTGGGACAGTTTCAAGTTGCTACACCGAAGCAACCACACATCAACAGACTCTGAATGACATCGCGATTCCCCGGAAGTAACATGAGCGATGTACCACAATGCCGGGGTCCCATGTTAGGTCCATTCACACGCATGTATACAAATTATTAGTTGCGGGCTTTAATATAAAAACGACCAGAAATGAATCACTAAGTGAAGTGAACATCCCGTGCAGCTCACCTCACCGAGGAACCATGCGACCAATGCGCCGAAAATGAGCGCATCATTGCATTCGCTATCTTGAACCGGGATGCCGATATTACACGATTCCCATAAATCTTTTTTCCACGAATCAATGCGCCATGCGGAAGACCCAATATCGAAAAGAACCACATTTGGATATCCTTCTATCAACCACCGACCGAAGACAATCTGTAGAAGGAATAAACCGAATATGATGAGCAACATGGACATCGTGTGTTTGGAGAAATAGGGAAGGATCAAGAGCAATTGTGGACAAGGTGATCATCATCATCGCCAGCAACGGGTGTCGAACAAAACTGCTTGACTGTGTAAAGCTACATCTGGATATCTCATGAAAGTCCTACCAAGTAGGACGAAAACTAAGGAAGGATGTGGACCTAAGGCTAACATGTTGCGAATATCTAAGGTGCACACAGCTCTCAGCGTTCAGACAGAAGTAACCGACCGAAGACGGGCACGCTGTGGACTGTTGTCTCACCATCAGCTAAAAAATCAGGTAAATAAATCTCAAGCCCCGGGCTAAGGTTAGACTTTGGTAGAAGCCAATAATGAAAAATGACAGCACTCCACAGCTTCGGTTCAGTGCGCAGTTTATTTCATAACTTTAGTGGCGGAACTAAACAGGTACGTTGAAAACTGAACAAGAAAGTTAAAAAGTGTGGTAACTGGCAACCGGTCCTACACATTAGGTGGGTAGCTCAACCCAGGACGGACAGCGAGATTCTCTACAGAAAAGCTGTAGTACAGTAAAAGCTGTCTTACTAGTTGAGTAAATCTCTAGTACCATTCAACCACTGAAACATGCATGATACGGCGTATGAATTGATCCTGGGACAAGCGTCGGCAGCCAAAGTGCCGATCGCTGTCGATTCCCCATACTAATCGAAAATAACTAGCGGTTACTTCTATTTTTGGACTGCTTCCAGTATCATGGCTCATATCTGTTTATCATAACACCTTTTTGTTTCCACATTCCTCTCCGTTTTTCTGCTATCGCTTAACGTTTACTAACCTTCCAAATACTACCACCAACATTTCCGCGAACTGTCCATCTTCGCATGAAACTTTGCACATAAGTTGTGTCTTCAATTGTCTGCCTGTTACAGGGCAGTTACAGATGCCAGCAGAGTATCATATGCACTATACAAAGTCGGCTCGTCTTACGATTTCCTTCGTCTACGATTCCCCGAATTGGTCTGCTAGCTTGTCTTAAACGGGCGTAAGCAACATTTTAGTTTACTCTTGTCAGACGTGTTGCTTTGTCGTGCTATCGATTGAAGAATGTAAACACATTTATTTCTGTGCCGAGCTCATCTGATACCCGCGATTTCAGAGGATTTCTCTGTTTTCATTCAAAACTACCTCCAGGGCATGCTGAGTGCCTTCCGCGCAATTACCCCTGTATACTGCCTACTTAGGCTGCACAACTTTTCGCGTTCGTACATTTCTATATCACTTGGTGTTTACTCATTGCTGCTGTCAGAAAGCCCTCTTGCCTTATCGCCCCTTTTTCTGCTCCAACCGGTTAGCGTTAATGTTCATTATTCTTTCACGTTATTTCACACTGCTTATAAACCTATTCGCTTATAGAAACAGCTATCAATTCCGTTTCAACTGCTTTTTTCAGTCTGTTCTCACTGCACAGTACCTGCTGAATACCAACTGCATTTAATAGGACAGCTACACACGTTTTGGAAGATCCTAAGTCATCCAGATCTTACATCCCTGTTGGATATTCATGGTAGACGCGCAATGCGTGACTAAAACCCTCAATCCACTACTTTATCAGCGAGCAAACGTCAGGTGGAACCATCACATTTGTTCGCAGTCGATACCGAAACTTAAAACGCTAGCCCTTTTCATGAGGCGCTGAAGGCCCCAGAGGGTACTTTACCATCGATGTGTCAAACGTCCGAAGCAGCTTTAGTTCGTGATTGTCTTTTGTTGACGTTCTTTGGGCATAGAATGCAGACATTCATTCGATCCCATCGACCCTTGCCTTTACGCGCATGGTTGATCAGCTGCAGCGACTCCTAGATTCTTATAAAATCACCAGGGTGGTGAGACCCGACATCAATTATTGTTTCCTCCATACAAGCGTAATTGGTTATATTTCATCCCATTCAATGCGTTTGCAACAGGTTTAGACAAATACATCATTGCCTAAGCAAGTTTTATTAACTGGGGGATGAATATGGACTGTGAACTGTACGTTGCCATATAACCACTATATTATTTGCCGTCCAACGCGTTATCATCAGTAACTGACGTTAGCCACTGCCAGAGGCTCCAGCGGTTTTGACAATACTAGGATGGGACGAACCTGGCAAAAATTCACGAACAGCCTTCAAACCAAAACGTAAAATGCTGAAGGATATGTCCATAGTCATTTCCCAGCGTTTATAATCCAGAATGGAGTTCCTAAACCAACTATTCGTAATGGCCAGTTAATCCAAGCAATTTTTGCTTTTGACAAACGTGGACCTTCAGGTAAGGTGGCTGTTGGTATATAAAAGAAATGCATCTGGCATGCGTTTCTTGCTTCAGTCTATAATGAAAAGGTTAGAAACTCCAACCGTGGGCCAAAGTAAAGATCAAACGTGCAAGGAATTACGTTTTCAGGAGTGAACAGAACTTGTTCCACTACATGTTTGGTTGACCTGTGTTAAAATCAGGACAGTATCCAAAGCAAAAAGGCTGAACACGAAAGCGACCAAATCCGTCAACCAAAGAATAATTATCAGTTTTGTTCGGAAAGCATTACAAGAGTTGGTAGGTAAACTACTGGCGGAGACGGAATTCACCGTCGTTAAATTTATTCCGGCTTACCAGACCAAACAAAAGCAAAATAGGGCTGGAAGCCTCAACATTAATCAATATGGCTGATAACGGGATGCTGGAAAGGTGAGATCCACTAAAAATTTAAAGCAATGTCCAGTAAATAAAAAAATCCAAAGTTCTTGACGATCAGGACCACTCAAACTCACCTTGATATCGTGCTGACGCATTGCACTGATTGTACGTTTCAAAGCCTCGTTTGTCGGCTCCGTTACGTCAACTTCCGTTCGCATGCATATTTCGTTTAAAGGACCGAGAAGGACATAATGATCGCCGAGTTCCTCAACTGTTGTGGCCGCCTTGGTGCGAATAACAGTATATATTCCACCGACTACAAGGGGTAGAAGCCAGTCGACAAAGAATGAGCGATATGGGACAGCAGCTACTGTGGTTAAGTAGAACATAAAAGGGACGGTCAATCAGAATCCCGTTCCTCAAGAATTTATACAACGTAATGATCCGCAACACCTGAACACCGCACCAATAAAGCATAGTTGTTATGTATCCGATAGTGTTCCTTAAATTAAATGGACTTCTCCACAACGAACACTTTCAGTGCTTCATCTAATGAAATTTGCTTGCTGAAAGGAAAGCGGACTTCGAATCTTCCTAAGAGCTGCGTGTGGTCAACACTTCAAGCGCTAGGATATCACTCTTTTGATGAGAGCTATGAAGGTACCGACCGTTGTCACCGAGCGGCAAGATTACTCTACTTCTGGCCTGTTTTTACAAACGTCCTTGCGTGGGAAGTTAAAGGGTTGAGTTTCGTTTCACCAACGGAGGGTTAATAAGCAAAGGGATTTTTCTTGGCTGAAAATTGTCATTACTCAACGCTTCAGCCACTGTAGTGCGAAAGTGTTTCCACTATCCGATATTTTAATGTCCTATAAGTAACATCCTGAACTAGAGAAGCTCCCACAAAATAGATCAGGTCTAATTTTCCTGTTGTTGAAATTCGCGCCCCAAAAAACAAGCCTATAAGGTGTGGCCAGGAAATGAAAGTTTGTCGAGTATTTTTGCTGCCGTAGCTAATCAAGAATTTGCTGAATAAAAATGATAAACCCGTTTATACGGAATTCTTATGGTTTCACAAAAATGAAGCTTGTGCATTCTTAGGGAACAAAGCTACTAATTTTTTCAGCCTAGAGGTAGAATTAAATTATTAGCGGATTTCGACATACACCAAACAGTGGTTCTTGTGGTTTCGAAATCCCAGGGAGGTTCGCTGTCCCATTGATTAGGGCAAACGCAGTAGCTTGAGATAACCGTTTATGGCACAAAGCAAGATTACTGAAACTGTAGCTATGGAGAAATCACAATTACACATGAAAGCATAGTAAAATCATCGCAATGGAGTACGAAGTACTGTACTGTACTAAAAATTTATATTCTGGCCAATCAGTGCACGTCTTCCGGTCTGTATTCGGTTCGCCATATATCCGTGCGGTCGATGAAGTATTAAGTTAACCAAATGGTCCGTCTAAGGACGGTGGCAAAACGAACGAAGTAGGGATGAAGTTTAGAAAGCTGGTGCCAAAAGAAAAAAGTAACCGCTCACTGAGGCACTCACTGTGTCTGTGTATGGAAAACATTTGTTCCAATAAGGATGTTAATGTTGTACACAAGGATAATTATGTACGCAAGTCGTGCGACAGATGACTCCATGTATAACGTAATGCAATACTCATAAGGTTGCTGAACATCCTTCGACAGCCCACGAACAGTTTTGCCCTTCTTGGGGCTCATCAAGTAGGCGCAGTTCCCAAGTTTCTTTCAGCATTATGCTCTACTTGAAGCTAAATTACACGAAATTAGCGAAAATCACTCATTAGCAAACTAATTCGACAGGATATTTTCAGTTACGAACCAGTACATACAACACACTCGACCTGAAAAGCATTTATCGCCAAATCATCGCAGTTCAGTATCAGAGGCCGTACAATGCATTTGAAGCAACTGGCAGCCATTTCCAATTTCACCATATCTTGTTTGGTATGGCCAATAGTGTTGTTTGTATCCAACGCAAAACCGATCATTTCATTAGGAGGGAAAACATTGCTGATACATCTGCACACACAGACGTCACGACTTGTGGAAACATCAAAGTAATCAAAAACATCTCGAATTTTTCCCAGGTGACTGAGAAACAGGTTACCACATACAACTATGCAGAAAGCGTCACAGCTTCTCGAGAAATTTGTCTCGTCTCTAAGGGAATTATCAAACCTGACCCAGAACGAATACAACCTATCCAGCAGTTGCCATGTGACACTAAAGCTCAACGATGCATAGTAGAAATATTTGCTTATTTACAGTAAATCCCCTTTCTTGCAAAACCAGTTTGCTGGCACTGGACGAACTCAAGAAATAACCTGGAAATGATATGGTCGACCCCGTCGACTAAGGTATACCTCTGACTGTTCAGATAGATTATTCAAATATTGCTACTTCCGTATCGCTGAGTTAGTAACGTAGATCTGTGATATTTTTCCTAGAACTCTGACCGCTATTGAACGACATCACTCCGCAGGTGATTCCACATCTGAAAACCTACACACATTTTGAAAAAGGTGTTAGGGTCGTCAGGTCCTAACGAACAATTCTGCCATTCGTTATATTTCACTGAGATTTCACTTTCTCTGGTTTAGCCAACTGAGTCGTAGTGTTCTTTCTTCCATTGGTCCATCTGCAATATGGCCGATCTTCATCTGGTGTCCTGTCCCCTTCCTTGAGGCTTTCCCACTCAATTACTTAGACTGTCAACATGACAGAATAAATTGTATCAAGCTTCTAAATCACTCAGCTAGCATCGTCAACATAATCGATGTCAGTGGCTTTCCTGTTGTCAGTTTCTGTCGACAGCATCTGAATAAGTGTCTGAAGGTGAATGATGGGATAACGCTAAGTTCCTTCCCCGTCAACCTATATTCTTTTCTTCAAAATAAGGCTTTCAAATAAATTATGATTGTACAGCTGTTGATGATAATTTCGATGATAACGTGTTTCGAACCAACAACAACACTCACGTAGTAAGCCGTGATACTAAACATGCAATTATCAAGGAACAGTACCCTGGTAGAGAGTGGAAAGGGAGAAACAGTAACTCAGTGCAAAAAAGCTTCGAAGACTAAGGAAAAACAGTCAAGAACGAGTGGCCTACGGCTTCAAAAAGCAGTGAAACGAAGACATCTTAGAATCACATCGGACATCAGCGGGACTGACCCAGCGTCATGTGCCAAACCCAAGTCCAGTGCACGAGAGGCAAACTCTAGTTACGCAGGCCGTCTAGAAAGTAACAATGTTCGAAACTGCGGTTATTTGCATGCCACACCTATACGGTATCCAACTACGTGGAAAGTGATTAGGTGGGCCACAGTTAGGAAGACTCAAAGATCTCACAAAGCCCTATTTGGCTTCAGCCAGTTGACTAAAACCACCAAACCTGAGAAGTTTCCCTAGCTCTCCCAGCAATTCGACTGGGACCCGCTACGAAAGTCACCCCGCTATACGCAACTTCGTTGGGGACAAGTTGCAGGCTACCAACTCCTACTGTGCTGCAAAGATGTAGATGATCAAATGCCTGTGAGCAATCAAGTCCTCAGGTAGGAGCGACTGACTTGTAACCATGACGTGGGAATGCACACATGGTATACAAGGCCCTTCATTTCCAGTGAATCTAACACCTGGTGACAAAAAACGCAAATTGGTGAATATTGTGTACCGCCAACGAGTAGATTGACTTCCATATCACAGTGTGGTCACTGTTAAGGCAACTGTAACGATACGCAGACCGAGCAAAAACCCGAAGTTCCAAACCGGCGGAAAGGGATTGAAGATCCTGAACCAAGATCTGCACATTGAAGGTGCGAAGCGCACACTGGAACAAAGGACTGCTTCTAGCATTTTCGCGATTCAGTAGCAAAACAACGTCGTCCGCACAGTCCAAGCCCATTAACCTTGTTCCTGTTACCATTTCTATCTCTGAATTTCCGGCGACTTAGAGTGCACATTCCATGGTTGTTTCAATGAAAAAATCAATCAGAAAAGGGTAGAAGGCAGACCTAACGATCCCCACTCGTATGATAATGTTGCACCGTTCGCTGTAAGCTTTAAGATAACTAGTGTTGAATTAATCCATCTACCAATCCCGTAGCCTAAACAGTCGCCCAGAAAACCAAACCAAAATAATCACTTACTAATTTCAGAAGACCTGACCCACGTTGCAGCCTTTAATACCCGTAGTCTATGTCATCTCCCGATGAAATTTTCTTTCTCTGTCTGCCGACGTATGCTGTCTCCGAAAAATGCATGCAAGACCCCCACCTCGGTCGTACACCTCAAGCCGATTAGGACCAGCTCAGATGTTCCACATTTCACACTTCTGGTGATCCTGAAGTAATGACTCTTGGTTTCTACGGCGTGGGAGTTGCACTTAGCCCCAGGGCTGAAAGCGACTTACTGGACTGGATCCCAGGAACCAGTCGTCATTGCACTTTGTGGTTGTCCGGCTCAGTTAAGAACAATACAGGTCGGCGCGATAAGCGGTGTTTATTTGTCGTACCGGTATACGCCGGGACAGACAACAGTTCTTAGAGTGACGACGGGTCTCATCAAAATCTGTCACGACTGCTTCGGTCAGAAACAGGGACGGATATTGTAATCCTTGCAGGTTATATGAATGCTCGATGGGGCCTACTAAGCCTGGAAGAAGCAGCTAGACAGTATATTAGTTGATGGTCCGCCTACAGATAACTGGTAACAACTGCCTCAGTTGTCTGTTTCTATCCAATACGAAATTCCACCACACAAACGCTCACATCGAGTTACTTGGAGGCCAGCAACCGAAAGAGTCATGGACTCAATTAGAACATGTGGCTATCCGTTAGCGATTAGGTCAATTAAAGAATACCGTTCCTGCTGGGGTATGAAAGTTGACTCCCATCACTCCATTGGGCAAGTCTGGTTATCACTTCACTTTCCATCAGCATCACGTATGTCGAAGCAGAGTAGCTCCATTTATCAAAATTGACAAGTTTCGGTAGCGTATCAAGTTGGCTTGGCTAAAAAGCTACTGGAAACACAAGGTTAAGCAGAAGACGAAGACTGCTTTGAGGCTCAACGGAAGCGACTGAAAGAAGCCATGCTCTCAGCTTTAGGAACTGAATTTCCAAGCCATCTGGCTTGATTAAATGAACAGTGGACATCGTCGAGATCAGTATCACCATCCTCATGGACAGCACGACATCAGTGTTCAACACTGATGCTTCGTTGCGTACAACCATGATTTATTTGAAAGCCTTACTGTGAAGAAAAGAATGAAGGTGGAAAAGGAAGGGACTTAGTGTTACCTTACTACAATCATTCCGAGGTGCATATACCTCCAAACACTCATTCAAGCAATCTGGATAGAAACTGACAACACGAATGCCACTGTCTTCGGTTGGCAGCCACATACTGCAGCATCTCCAACTAGGAGCATTGGGGATCACGCGATCTCTATCCTGGTAAGCGACAGCACCCAAACATTTCGTGAACTTTCATACCCCTCTGTCAGGTCAAGGGTTGCCCACATCCCTAATTCCGCCACTATGAGTTGGGCATAGAAAACAGTACTCTCTTCGGCCGATGACGGTTAGGCATATGCAACACATGTCCCAACCAACGCAGCTTTTAGTGCTGAGCGCATTCTTTAATGGAAGTACCCATTGCACAACCGAAAACTCACTTTCTAATTGCCTCTTTACGGATACGCTGACACTAACCCACACGAGCGATGGTCCTGAGACAACGATTTTCCAACACCTGAAGACGTCTCAGTTCCGCTACTCGAACCAAGTCTCACAGCCATACAACAGAACAGCCTGAAATGTGGCTTGATGCACACGTCCCTTGAGATTCAGGGATGCACCACCATAGGTGTCTCAAATTAGCAAATGCGACCTGAGCCTTGCAGATCCGTGCATTCACCTCATCTGTCACACTACAATCAGAACGGATACAACTTCCGAGATAAGTAAAACGCCAGACAACCTCCAGCGGCTCGCCCTGGACTGCAAGTGGCGTTTTCAGTGACTGAATGTCCAGGAACATGACCCTAAACTTCGTGGGTTTAAAGTGTACATCAAAGGACTTTAGTCAGTTAATCAAAAGATGCCTGGGCCTTCTCCTCTTCTAACATGAGAAGGATATCGTCCGCATATTCCAGATCGACGAGGTTTTCGCCAGAAGCTATTTAAAAAACGGCGTTTTGAAGATGTTTCAGCGTTCGCCTCATTATCTCATCTATCACGAAACTAAATAAGAATGGAGTGGGCACTCCTGACAGACGCCGCTTTATCCGGGGAAGCTTTTGGAGAGCTTCTGTATACCCTTACACGTTCGGAATTCGGAGAATACAGAGAACATATCATGCTCACAATCTTCCGGGAAATTTCTTGATAGGCGAGCGTGTCAAAACAGACCAGTCAAGCGGGTCAAATGCGCCTTGGAAATCCAGGAATATCAAATCTGTGGCTCGTTTGCACCTATGGCGTTGTTCCATCACCAGACGGAGTGTGAAGATTTCGTCAACGCAACCCTTACAAGACCGGAATCACGCTTGCTGCTCTCGAGTGAATGTTTCACGAGCCACCATAAGGCGATGAGGCACAAGTGACACCAGCAGTCTTGTATCGAGGTCAGCAGATCTTATTCCTATCGGAAAGACCACACCAGCAAAGAGACTGTGAAATACAGTAAAATATAAAAGAAACCGTTCAGCTGTAGCGCCCTTTCGGTGCCTAACCGCCATGCCACCCGAAGGAAGCACGAGGGCTGGGATAATGCTAGGTCGCCCAAACCTAAACAGGGGAAGTCGAGCAGAGATCGGGTTCGAACCACGGACCTTCCGGTCAGTAGAGCTGCGTTCCAACTACTTGGTCTATCTCGCCCCATCAGGGCTTGAAGAATGACAGAAAACACTGGTGGATTTCGAAGGCCCATGAGGTGAAGTAAGGTTTCCTTGCAGACAGATTGGCATGCGCTTCACACCTGTTAATTGTAAGGTGCTACTTGAAGACTGGGTGGGATCATACCCAAACCTCATTCTTGCAGATGAGGAAGTCGACGCCGTAGATAAATTTGTTCACCTGGGTAGTCGCATACGCTCGGATGGACTGGCTGGAGATGAGATTATTTCTCGGATCGGGAAAGTCGAGCCTTTGCCAGGGGAAGTCGAGCAGAGATCGGGTTCGAACCACGGACCTTCCGGTCAGTAGAGCTGCGTTCCAACTACTTGGTCTATCTCGCCCCATCAGGGCTTGAAGAATGACAGAAAACACTGGTGGATTTCGAAGGCCCATGAGGTGAAGTAAGGTTTCCTTGCAGACAGATTGGCATGCGCTTCACACCTGTTAATTGTAAGGTGCTACTTGAAGACTGGGTGGGATCATACCCAAACCTCATTCTTGCAGATGAGGAAGTCGACGCCGTAGATAAATTTGTTCACCTGGGTAGTCGCATACGCTCGGATGGACTGGCTGGAGATGAGATTATTTCTCGGATCGGGAAAGTCGGAAAAGCCTTTGCCAACACCTGTGTAGTCAGCGTGACGTCGGTTTCTGTCAAAAACAGTTTATATTACGACAGTGCGATCCATATTGCTTTAAGCACCAGCAATGTCACCTCAATGTGCAGGGCATACTAGAGATGTCGGTATGGCCACTGCTGTCTCCGAAACATTTGTCCGATCTGGTGGGAACATCGGATTAGTAGTGTTAAGGTGCGCCAGATGGTACAAGGAATAAGGAACTCTCCCGCGATATATGAATTACACGCGCTCCATAGGTTACGCTGGTTATGACATGTACTCCACGTGCCAAAAGACCATCTGCCTCACCGAGCTCCTT